CAAAACTGAGACTACTAATGTGGGAGAGGCCCAAATTCTGCACGGAATTCACTCCTTGGGGAAGCAACAAACCCCTCCAGCAGCAGAGAGACGGGAAGCTGGCAAGAGATTTACTGACCCACTTCAGAACAAACAAACAAACAAAAAGAAGAGTAAAAAAGAAAATCCATTCCTAAGATGAACCGGCACTTTGCTGACTGCCAGCCAAGTGAACGTGCGGGTGGACGGCTTCGGACACCAGCGATCTCCTGGTGAGATCAGGCAAGGGCTTTGGCTGATGTGTTCTTGCTCTACCATGAGTCAAGAGGCAGCGTGGGAAGCCCCAGAGCCTACTTGCCAAGGGCCCCATTTCACGCTCTGGCTATCAGACTCCTGCTTGCCTTGTTGGCTGGAGTTTTTACTGTAGAAGTTTAACCAGGGTTGGAGGGCAGAGAGGGCAATCAGTAAGGTGAGGGTGGAGGGAAGGGGCTTTTCAGACATTAACATCACCAAAAATAGTGTTTTATGCAACAAAGAATCAAGTCTCACTGGTGTATACTACAAAATGTTTGACGTTTCCCAAGAGCATGTCAAAATAAAAACACAAAGAAGTTTACATTGGATGTTCATCTTGTTCACTAGGTTGGGTTTTTTTATTCCCCTCCCACCCCCCTCCTATTTCAAAACAGTGCAAACAGGTAACACTTGAAAAATCACCCCTCTGCACCAAGGACAGCATTCCCCTGACCCTGCCAGGCTGGAGGGCCGCAGGCTGTCTGTGCCTGCTGCTTTCCCTTTGGAGCTAGACTCGGCAAAGGTGCTCCCCAGAGCTGGTGTGTGGGTTTCCCTTTATTGAATTCGTTAAGTGCTCCCCAAACCCGTTCTCCACTTGCCTCCTCCTTTGGGGCCGGGATGGGAAGGTACACGTAGGGATGGGTGGGAGCTGGGAGGCTCAGCTTTGTATTCCCTGCTGCTTGAAGCTCTGGGTGCTGGAACTGAAAGCCCAGCAACCAGCTCTCTTTTGGGGCAAGGAAATAGTTTCATTAACCGTTTCACAACTAGAACTCGAGCCAGCTATTCAGGTAACCCTCCTCAGCTCTTGCTGTGCACTTCACATCCACAAGGTCTCAAAATGGACAAGAACAGGGGATACACTTTCACTTCACGTCAGGGATGGGGAAACGAGGTCTAGAGTAGCAACATGACTGCTCCATGATGACCCTTGAGGATGACTAACAGAGCCCAGCCCAAAACAAAGGTCTTGGCCTCCTGAGCTAGCGCTCTTCCTGCTGGGCAAGTCTGCTCTCTCGGGCACGGAAACAGCTGAGCCACAGCTATTTTGAAACATGGCTTTGTCTATCTGAACTCATGACACAAGATCCACATAACTGCTTAACCTGGGAAAAGCTGGCTCTAGCAGGCTCATACGGAGCTCCCCGTTGTCTCCAGGTCCCATCATGGCTTTACTTAGAAAAGCTAACCCACCTACAGCAGTGCAGCCTCCCTAGCATGGGGACAGCGACAATGGTTTGTTAACATGCTGGGCATCAATATAACTTATTCCCAGTAGAGAATATGCTATACGAGTAGAAGTCATCTTTGTACCAGCACAACTGTACCCACAAGGAAAGACAGACCAGCACATTAAATAAATCAACTTTTCAATCCAAAATTTCATCAGTATAATATCATGTGCTGGCCAGACCTATTGCAAGACAGTACAAACAGCAACACTTAAATAAACATCTTCTCCTCTACATCAAGAGGAATCCCAGATGCCACCAGACTAGAAGGTGACACACAGCAAGCTATTTGCCAGGCTGCCTGTGCGGTTTCCCTCGGAAAGCCAAGCCCTGCTCTGCGAGGGACCTGTGGCTGCAGACCCATCTCAGGGCAAGCACTAGCTGCCATCGGTCAAATAAGCCAGGGCCCAGTTTAATTCATTAAGTTTAATTCCTTAAGTGTAATTCATTTTGCATAGGGAGATATAGGCTTTGTCCTCACTTCTTCAGAAGATGGATACAGCCACGGCTTGGTTACTCTGAATGCATATCAAACCAGTTCATAACACATCTGAGTGAAAGCAGAGCTGTTGTTTGCCAAGAGGGAAGAAAGGCTGAAGAGCTCTCCCACCATGGCCCAACACTCACTCAAAATTCCAGCTGGCATGCAAGTTTTTGGGAGGTCCGGTGCTCCGGAGACCTGGAACCAGTGAGCTCCCTCCAGCCCCCAGCCATGCAAGCACCCTGGCATCCCCTCTGCAGCTCACTGCTGAGGGCAGTAAGCCGGGATAGCAGCGAGCTGCCTCAGCAGGCACCTTGCAGCATTAACTATGGAGTCAAGGAGACACTGGCTGGATAATGCACCGGAGAAGCCTGGCAGGGAGAGACCGGTGCAGGCCGGGCTCAGACAGAGGAGGAATCTGGCTGGATGGTCTAGAGCAGGTATTTCTTGGAGATCATACAGCAAGGGACCATGACCCTGCAAAGGTTGGGTGCTTCTGCACTAAACCCCTCACTCTCCTAATGTACTCAGGTGGGCTGAAGCTGCCATGCATAGACTCTGCTCGGAGGCAGAAAGGGGGCTGGCCTCCTTATGCCCAGAGAGGCCAAGGGGCAGGGGGGGATTGCAGGCAGCACTGCCAGGGCAGGGAGGGCACTAGGGCAGTCAGAACCAGCTGAACTGAAAGGTAGGAAAGGGGCAGAGGGATGAGCAACCGCCGGGCTCTGCAAGCTGCGCTCCTCCTGCTCACAGCCTGCTGCACCAGAACTGCCTGCGGGCGAGGGAAGGGACGGCCTCACACAGCCCCTCTGCTCACAGGTGGGTAGAACAAGTGCAGCAGAGACTTCTGCTGCAGAAGTCCCCTGGCTGCCCTGTGGTGGAAACGGCTCCCCTTGAATATGACTATTTCTACCACCAGTCGTCACACTCCCCCCTACCCCAACTCGGGCAGTAAAAGCCTCCAGACACCCTGAGTCCCCCTCATTCCTAGATTTTGTGAAAGCCCCAACACCCTGTTCCCCCCTCCCCATTTTCAAGCTAACTAAAATATTTATATACAAACAACAACAAAATTGTCATAACAGCAACAAACCAAACTTTGGCTTGGGAAAAAAAAAAAAGTTTAAAAACCAACAATAAAACCAGAAAGAAAGAAAAAACAAACCCAAAAGGTGGCCAACAGGCTGGCAGTTTGGTGTCCCCTTTATCTAGCTATTCCTCCAGAGAATCAATAGCTTCAGGGTCTCTAGCTTAACTATTGGCTTCCCCATTCTTCCCATCTGAGGTGCCTCCTCTCTGCCACACACAGAGAGGACGTGTGTATCGCTGGGGAAGAGCAAAGAAACTCATGGTTGTGCGTGGCTGGGTCAGGACACCTCCCTGGGAGCTCTGCCTGTCGACATCGCTTAGTGTTAAATGCAGGAGGTTTCCTATGCTGGTATCAGCGGTGGATGGAGCAGCCGGTGTATGACAGGAGTTGGGAGAGGCTCCACCAACAAACCCACACTCCAAGCAGCCCTTCTGCGGGCAGCGAGCTCAACCCAGTACCCATCGAGGCAGCCTAATCAAACCATGCTTCTGCATTTCTCTGCCATGTCGTTAGAGACCCTGCCTCTGAGCACGGGGTTACTGGGAGCACTCTAAGAGCCAGCAGCTGAGTAGGGAGGTCTGGAGAGAAACAACTCCCCATCACAGCACAGCTCACATGGTCATCCAAAAATGCCGACTTCGAAACACAGTGAAATCACTGTCCATGAGAGCAGAAGGGAGATGGTCTTGGGAGTCGTGGAGCCTTCTGCTCTATAGTCTCTCCACTTCCAAATCTTCTAATATGTAGTGTCTATATGGACTCAGCAGACCAGGTACACAACTTTCTATGAGAGGCTGGGCAAAACAGACTCGGGGGCTCCAACGCAACTATGTAAAAGGGCCTGAAATAGCTCATGGTGGGAAATTCCTATGAATTCAGAGCTTGCACAAACTGTTTCTGCCTCCCCTTAAAACTCCTGACAGAAACAAAACTACTTCAGAATCAGGTTTAGATGTAGAAGACCCTCTTCCCCCACACAAACCCACATACCTGTCCCTCACCTCAAGCAGCTTATACATGACTTGTGTTTCCTCACTCACTCATGTTATTTGAAACAGATTACTTGCAGAGGTGCCTAAGCAGCTAAAGATGAACAGGAGGAGAGACCTTGTACGCCGGACCTCGGTGCACTGGAGCATGGTTCTTCTGCTAGCTTTCTTCCTCTGCAAGGCTGCATGCACTTCACCTCTGCAAGTTTAACCACTTGCTGTCCACAACAGAGGTTCTCTGTGTGATGCTGCACTGCGTCTGCCACTCCTCGAGGAACGAAGGGGAGGAAAGGGACAGCAAGGGAGAAAGATCTTGAAAAGGAGGAAGGAAAACTAAGGTAATTACAGCCACCAGCAACGGACAACAATCAGCTAGAATATGTGGGGGGTGTGTGGGAAAGATCATCCTCATCAAAAACTCCTTTCAAAGTCTTGTCCCCTATACAGCAGGTAACAGCCAAAGTCTTTGGGCAGGTTGAGGAAATCTTCTCTTGCCACGTCTAGAATCCTGACACTGCTGAAACTGTCCCAAACCTGTGCGCGTCAGATGGTGATAAAAACGAGGAAAGTCTCTGCATTTCCCCCATTTCCAAATGTAAATGACTATTTCCCACCAGCACTTAGGTCCCAGCCACAGCCATAGAGTGCTTCGTTCTGCAGACCAGAAACACGGCAGGTGGAGACTTCTCCCTCACGTCCTCCTGTCTCACAGGCACCAAGCACCAGACCCAGGGAAGTAACTCTGTCTGCGTGTTCCTGATTAATTGCATGATATCAGTTTCTAACAGCTTTCCTTATCACTAATTGCCTTTTCCGTGATTGGTAGGATAAGCTATGCACCAACATATAGACACGGAAATGCATTATTTTTACCACAGTTAAAAAAACCCCAAAAAACAAAAACAAAAACCAGAAAAAGAAAAAAAAAAAGCACAATCTTTGGAACAAAAGAATTAAAGGCAGAAATTTAAAGGAAAAAAAAATACATATTCAAAGAACATAGTGAGGTATAAAAAAGTATTTTCTCCTTTGTTTTTTTTTTTGTTTTGTTTTTGTTTTTCCTCCTCGTCTTGCTATAGAGTTCCTCTACTAGTAAATATTGCAATAGCCAGGCCTCATGAACTGGGGGGGCTGTCCCACTTGCAGGGGGTTCACGTCACTTCAGTAGGGGGCAAATCGGCTGTAGCCACCTCGGTATAAACTCGCCTGTAGAAATTAAGTGAGAGAAGAAGAGGTTATTAGGAGAAGAACTGGGAAGAAATACTCAGGACAGCATCCAACGGACTAATAGACGTGTCCTGGCACTGACCCGCCACCATCATCACCTCTAAGAAGCAAGAGAGGAGAACCCTGCCTGCAGAACCAAAGACATGGCTCATGGCCAGCCAGCTGGAGGTGAGGTTTGGCAAGTCGTGGTCAAAGGGAGTTCAGTACCAGAGAGGGGACTCATGAGTCCTTATCTCTGAGACAGATGTCTAGGCTGTCTTTGTAGATAGCACAGACCAGGACTTCTAGGATGCTTCACCTCACCTTAAAGTAAAGGTCTAGAATAGACACGATGACTGGTATCCTAGAAGTATCTGCTTTTCTTTCATTGACCCTGAAGAGAATCTACATGATAAGCTGAGGCTCAAACGGAGGTGCTACACTGCAGATATCTATATTTAGGTGTCTTTTTCTCAGAACGCATTTGTATTCCAGCCTTTGCGACACCACAGATACTGTGCTGGCTAGCAGATGGGCAGGCATGTGTCTTCAGCAAACTGTTCCACTCCCCTCCAATGCCAGCACACCTCGTTCCCTTTTCTGTGTAACTACTGCTGGCAGGCAGGACACCACATCCCTCCACTAGTGCAAGAAGGAACCAAGTGGAGCAGCTTTGCTGCAAAATGTCATGAGAACAACTTATTCCCTTGCTTCCTAAAACTGGTATCTCAACATGCAACACAAGCCTTCAATCAAAACGGCAGGAAAGGGTGTCTCGCGTCTCTAACTATTGCTCATTTTTGTCCTGTATTACCACCTTGATAAATTTCTACTGATTCACCAACAATGTTCTGGATCCTGGCATCTCTGGTCATTCTTCTACCATCTCCTTGGTAGTAGGTGACATGCAAGACCAAGTAGTAAATGGCCTCCTACAACCTGGCTCCGTTCCTAGCGCATACACAAAAATATACGAATGCAGAACAACTGGGAACCCAGCATCGTAACTAGGGACCTCCTCCACCAATTAAGAAGTTTTCCTGGGTGAAGTTTCATTATCTGATACCCCAAGCTGGAAATGAGAAACTGCACAAGAAAGAAAATCCCACTTACCACAGCGCCAACTCCGTAGCTAGCGGCAGGGGCAAGGGCATGGTAAGGATCTGCTGTGTACACCCTGCCATAACTGAAGAGAGGGAGAAAAGATATGCAGAAATAAAAAAAAGAGAAAAAAAAAGTCACTTCAGAGGGGCAGAGAAACCAGCTGTCTGACCACAGGCAATGGAGGAAGCAGCATGCCCTTCACACACATGTATGCATACATGCACACACATGCAGGCAGCCTGTCTTCGTAGAGATCCTATGGGCATGCTGCCATGCATCGTATGAGATGGGCCACAGAACAGCCTGCAAGGAGGAATGTGGTAGAAGCCATAAGCTCCACCTATAGGAAAGAGGTCAGCACCTTTCAAATGGCAGCCAGTGCATCCCTTACCTCGCGTGATGCAGTTTGGGAGGAGAGTGACTGCTGGTGCTAACGCTACTGGCACGGAAACAGCTGCTAAATGGAAAGCAGTGAGGGGTTCTCCAGAATGAGAAGGGAGTATAATAAACTTTAATGGTCTCACATGTGCTAGGATTAAAACGTGGCCTCACTGAACAGGAGATAAAAAAATCTTAAGGCAAGCACTCTGATGATAATCCTTTGTATCTATACAGAGCGGCACGTTACATCATCCTAGAGTACTGTATCAGCTGAGTAAATTTTACTTCTTGGATTGGGAGAGAAATGCACCCAGTGATTAAACAACCTGCCCAGAGTCACAGCGCAAGGAGCTGGCAAGGCAAGCCAGATCTTTTGACTCTGAGGCTATAACCACACTGCCTCCTTTGTGCAGAGAATCACAAGGATAGGGAAGAGGCCAGGATTTGCGCCAGCTCACATACACCGGAGGGCAATACTACCCAGAGGCAGAGAGACAAACCGTGCATTCAAGTCTTTCATGTTGGGTTGTGCATGCATGTGTGCGAGTGCCAGTAAGACAAAGAAACAGGGAAAGAAGTGGAAGTGCTGTAATGGATCAATGCTCCTTGAATCCCTGAGCACAGCAAGCTATTCCCCATGGACACCTCCCCCTTACATACCCATCGCTGTAAGCTGCTGCAGCGGCTGCAGCGGCCGTGGCTGCTGTTGCAGTAGCAGGCTGTGCATATCTGTAGGCTGCATATCCACCCTGCAGGAGAGAAGAGAACTGACTTTACAGATACCTGTCCACCCACACAGAGCATAAAAAATAAAATTAAAAAAAACCTCACACACATCACAAGGAGAGGAAGTGTTTCAAACTGCATCAGCTCCCATGTCATGTCTATCGCAAGCATCACCCATTAGCTTATGTGCGTTCCTTTCCTCAGAAGGACCACAGAGACTCTTCCATTACCCCATGTAGCAGAAGGAATAAACTAAATAAAGCAAGCCTGAGCGTGGTTATATCCCTGCAGGAAATTAAATTTGGCGTGGAGGAACTGAAAACCAGAAGAGAGCTGAAATCTTGCATACGACGTCATTTTTATGTCCCCTTCCTCTTACACTGGGGAAATCAGAGGTGGGTACTTCCTGTGAAATGTGTGTTTTGGAAAGGGGACCATTCAGAGAACTTTCTGCTCTTTTCCCCCTATCTCTTTTCTTAAGCCTGGGAAACACAGAAGGCTAGAATTTCATTTGGTCCAGAGATAGGCAAAAAAAGCCAAAAAGCAATCAGGAAAAGATGGTCAGAGACCACGGTCCCTTGTGGTCTCAGGGCTGGCAACAAGCAAACTGACAGTGATACCAACCAGACTGTTCTGCCCTCCCTCCATGTAAGAAGAGAACAGGTCTGCGGAAATTATGCCAGAACGGTCTGTATTGTTACTGCGTTTCTGCCCATGCTACACACCTGCAGAGTTAAGGTCTTCAAAATGCTTACCGGGCTAGGGGCAAAGGCTGAATGGCAGGTAGCAGAGAGGGCTCTGAAGCCCAGATTAGATTTTTCCTTATTGTACACTTCGAAACACATTTTTGTTAACCGAGGGGGGCATGGGAAATGAACCACGGCTTTGATTTGCTACAAATACAATGAGCCATAAATAACAACAGATTGCTTCTGGCTTTTTTTTCCCTCCAATTGACATTTCAGAGTCTGAAGATCCAGAAGGCAGACTTATGTTCTTCACCTCCAGAATCAGCTCAACGTGCCTTTACCGCTTCTTCCCTATAGATCTTTTGCATATATTTAAGAGTACAAGATCAGCTCTACTACAGGACGATATGTTTGCTCAGCAGTGCTCAGTTGTGAGCTACAGAGCTTTGAAATTAGAAGTAATGATTTTAAACAAATTTTGATTGCTTTTGTGGGGCCTGTGTTAGCCCCACAAAGGCTAACGTGCTATCCAAAATATTCCTGGGGACCCTTTCCTGTGCCAGAGGAGAGTGACTTACAGCCTCTTCAATCTTGTAGTCAACAGAAGAAAGAGTATCACAAATCTACACCTCTGAAACATCACCACGTTGTCTGAAAAAATGTTATGTTACCCCTTTAATCTCATCCAGCCGTTTCAATACCTGCATTTGGGGAAGTTTAGCTTGGTTTAGGTGTGCTATCACTGCACCACCATTATCCCACCTCCTAAACATGACAGAGATGAGAGGAATGAGGTGCAGCCCTAATCCAAATCAAACCTTCATCAACCTTACCAAGTTAAGTCACAACTTTGTACTGATGTCATTGTGGTATCCCTTGTTATTTACCAGCTTCCTGAACTCCTAATGGAGTCTGCTGCCACTTGGGTATGGCATACCAGCCAATTCTGCCTGGCGCTACTCTCCTGCAGGGTGGCTGGCTTCAGCACACACCCACATTCCCACCCTGTCCCACACTTGCCAGACACATTTCGGAGCAGAAGCCGTTTCAAATGTGCCTGGCCCATGCTCTGAACATGAGAGCAAGATGCAGCTTGAAACCAAAAAGGGTTATCATGTAATTCTCTTTTAACTCATGTCTCTCGTAAAGGAAAACGAAACGAAACCAAACCAAAACGAAAAGAAAAAAAAGAAGAAGAAAAGAAAAGAAGGGTTGGAATCAGGTGTGGGAGGGGGAATGGCGTAACATTTATTAATCAAAATTAAAAACTAAGCATGCTGACATCTGGAGCTAGAACAACCAGCAAAGTCACCACGTTCAGACTCATATTGGCTAGTTCTATCCATCCCAGCATTCTCTTGGGACAGCAGTTCGCCCTAGGCTCTACCACAAGCTCAGTGAAGTACACAGCCTCAAGTACTAGAGCGTGCAGCCACAACAACCTGCTATTACGGAAACAGTCAGTCACCACTGGAGTTAACATTCCAACCTTAATGACTCCCGCAGCCTCCCACCCTCACCCCCCAGAATGGCTCCCACCCTAGCCCTATCCCACACCACAATGTTAATAATTATAACAAGCAATAACCCATCTGTTATATCAGAGAAGGGAACAGAGACTCCACTGAGAGATTTAGAGCGGGATGTTAACATTTCTTCAGTCAACTGCACAACAAACAAAAAAAAAACAGGAGAAATAATTCATTGGAGAAATGAAGTTAAGAAATAGCTGACATGTGTATTGCTTTTAAACCATGCACTGATGCAAAACTGAAGCTACTGTTAATTTAAAAAGAAAAAAAAATTAAAATCAGAGGATAGAGGTACACACGCATGGGCAGACCTGCTCCGTTCAAAGTGGTCTGCAAACTCTACTTGTGTGTACTTCAAATAAAACCAAAAATGGGGATTATAATGGCCATGGTACGTTCCTGTCATAGGAGCAATGAGCGTGGACAGCTGGGGGATTTCTGGCACGGGGATGTATTTAGCACGACCAGGAGGTCCAAATACACCAAAACAGGCTGAAGGAAGGAGGAGGAAAGTTGCGACTGTAACTCGTTATTTCGTAAACTCTTCCACCGAACTCTAGGACCAGTACACAGCAAAGGAGCCACTGTGCAGGTTGCCTTACCCAGCTGATGCTCCTCTTCTCCATAACCCAGGACCCACCTATAATTTCACCAGTGTGTCTAAAGCCTTGCCCAGCTTGCTCAATGCACCAGTTATTTTCTCTTGGTATTCCTGTTCACATACAACTTTAACTGGTATGCAGAGCTCATCCGTAACCTCATCTACACCGCCCTACCACCTCAAGTGATTTCTGATGCCACTCACTTTGGGTACTCTAGTAAATATAAACTATAATAGAGCATCTTCAGCAAACATGAACAACTGTATTTCCCAATAAAGGAATAATAATAATGTTTTTAGAAGTTCCTTGCTAGCTGCAACACACTCTTCCAGTGCCACAGCCCAACTGCGACAGAAGACACCACTGAGTGGCACAGTCCCTGAACTCCAAAACAGCCATGCAAACTCCCACTCCATCTATTTAAATGAAGTGATTCCACAGGAACAGGTTTGCCTATCTAGGTTCAGTTTTTGAAATCTTTAGCCTCATCTTAAAAGAACTAAACGTGGCTGAGCTTCTCATGAAGATGTTAAGTCAGAGACATTTCTATCAGAGGGACAGTTTAATCACTGCCTTGACAAAGAAACAGGGAAACTAAGGAAAAAGCTTTTGCACTTTTACTGGGCAGTAAGTAACAACCAAAAGGACTTTCTAAATCAAGATCAGTCCTATCTGGTACAGTCTTTTGGATTGCCTGGGGAGCACATGAGAAAGCCAAACACAACCCTAAATGTTGCTTATCTTAATTCAAGTTCTCTTTCTCTGGACAACCTGCCTGCTAAACCTGTTTCCTCATGTCGATGTGTAGCACTTGCGCCCACAGATCGCAAGTGTCAAACACCAGTACTTGCTCATGTATTCACAAAAGCCCAAATTTAAAACAACTCTCCTGTGATGGTACTGTCCTTGACTCATCAACAAAGCGAGAAAACACATTTTTTAAATTCTTTCTTTAACATTAGATGATAGCGTTCTCAATATTGTCATATATTCTCTGGAATAACACAAACATGGCAAAACAACATATACAGGAAGCTGCAATCCCAACTAAAGCAGCATTCCAATTACTGAGCATGTTAATGGAGATAAACGAGCACTTTAAGACTATACAGTTCAGCTCAAAATAAGTCCATCTTCTCTTCCACTCTTCAGGTCCATATTAGGTGATCAATCCAACGAGAACACAAGGAAATCCAAAACTACAGCTTACTATGTTGGTGTATCCTATTGTATAAGCTTCCCTTTCCTTTTTCCCTTGCTGCCTCAGATGGGTGCAGGAGGTGTATTGCTGGCCCTCTTTACTCCGAAGAGCCTTTATGCACTAGGACACAAGCGTCCCCATACCCATGGAGAAATGTGTAACTCATGGTACCAGCTAGATATGTCTGACCACCTGCCAGGTTTAGGCAGTGAGCCCAATTTTAGGATCTTTTATATGTTGTATCTCAAACGCCCTATAACAGAAGTTAAGAAGCAGAAAGGGCTAGAACCATTTCCAGGATTTCTGTATTAGAAGGGTGGCATACGTGCACCAGGAATGAGCATGAATGAATTAAAAGAGGTGACTGGACAACGGTGTCCATTGCAGCAGGTGCTTCTACATGGTAATGGGACAAGCATGACCTTGTTAACCCTTCCGTTGAATTTACTTTTTTTTGGTTTTTGAATGAAATGCCACTTGGTGTGAAATCTGGACACACGCCGCCCTGCTACAGCGGGGGCTTGGCTCACATGTGAGTCTGCGCTGCCCTAAAAAAGCCTCTGTTCCCATCTCTAATGTGGTGCTGGAATGGTTAGTATAATTCAGTTTTTTCCACTGCAATCCACAATCTGATCGGTTGGCAGGTCACACTGGCACTCCTACCTGAGGTATTTTAGCGCTAATGATTGGTTCCTGTAAGACTATTCTATAACAGAACACAGGAAGAGCAGTTCAAAAAAACACAGCTGTGGAAAGAAACAATCATACAAACAGCCCGCGGCGGGGCTCACCAGCCTTTTCTTTCCAGTGGATGCAAGCACGCTTTTCACAGGCAAGAGCAGTCGTCGCACAGGTGGGTTTGTTTGGGTTTCCCCCCCGCCGCCCAGATTGACCCCACTGTAGAAGAAATAACTCTTCTTTTGAGCCAAAATGAAGCCCTCTGCATCCTGGGGCAGGTTGTTTTATGAAATCAGGTGTCTTGCCAGAGTGGGATGCATCCAACAACAGATGGAATGCCTTCTTCAACAGAAGAAATGGCTAGCAGGATGGTTGCCCCAGGAAAGAAAAAGGAGTGAGGAAGAGGAGGAGGAGGAAAATGAGAAATTGGTGCATAAAATGTATGCAGAAAAGCAGCCCAAACTTGGGACACTTCCCCTTCATCTCACCTATCATCAACACTCCCTGCCAGCTCAACTCCTCTCTACAACCCTACAAAAGACCTGAGGGAATCTCCATGTAAATTCCCCCTGCCAGTCCTAACTGAAGTACCCTCTGCCATCCCTTCCACAGTCTGGACAAGCCTTTCACAGCAACCAAAGGGACAGAAGCACTGCAGTGAAAAGCATGACAAGTCAGTGGGGCACAGGGACACTGTAACCTTCCTACCTGTGCCAAGCAAATTGTTTGGAAGGGTAACTTCATGTATGGATTATGGCAACTTTTTCCTCAGCTTCATCAGAGGGTCTGGGCACCAATAACATAGGAAAAAGCACCACCATCTACCTTGATGAGTCCCCTCTTCTATCGTCCTGCTTTCTGACAGTGAGACCAGAGCCAATACAGCAAAGTTGTCAGAAGTCAACCTAATGGTTCTAATCAGACCCGGAGGCTTGGTTTTGTGTTACATGATGCTACTGCACTGCAGCACCAAGTCGTTACCAGGACTCTTCATTATTGATGCCTCTGTCCTTAAAACGTGTTAAATAAGCCTCTCCTCATCAGCCATGGAAGCTCTGAAGGAGCCTTCTCAAAAGAAACAGGGAGCAACCCTGGCCAGTCCTCCCTTTCAACGCAACAGACTCTTATATGACATACTCTGAAGAAAGAGGCACTAAGCATTGCTCATTTGCTTCCTTACTTGCTGTAGCAAAGTCAGTGGTCTGTAAGCTGGTGTTTTAGGAGTGAAGTGGGAAAACCCAGAACCCTCTGTAGTCCTTGACACAGTTTTATAAAGGAACACTTGACTGGGCAGATCAATTTTTAAAAGAGTGTGCACATGATAGTATATGTAAGAACGAAGAAATGCACCCAGCATCTCTGTGCTCAGAGAGCACGTCTTCCAACTGCCGTCACCTTTACAATACTTAACCCTCCATATAAACCAACAAAATCCAAGAGCTAATTCCATCTATTATCTTGAGTCTAACCCCAGGGTTCTCTCTATAAACATCAGGAGTAGCACCTTCAAAGGAGCAGGGATGTGAAATCCATGCTGACACCTGTGCCACTACCTGCTAAAGAATTGCCCCCAGCTCCAAAGAGCTATTACCTAGGATATCACAAAAGGGAACTCTGTTGGAACTAGGCAGTCCACAAGTTGCGATGGCAGTAGTGGACCTGAACGCTTCGGCTTTGAAAGGCATATTCCTACCATAACTGCTCTGCAACAGCTCCCCATTGGAGAGGAAACTGCTTTTCTCACTGGCCAGTCAGAACCCCTACATCCATGACCCACCTATGTACACACAGATGCCCTGGAGATCTGCAATACAGACTGGCTGGGTCAGACAAAGACAATGACAGGACAAAGTCTCCCGTGGTATCAGAGCTAATTCCCAGACAGGAGGAGGCTGCTGACTCTTCTAACCAAACATCTCCACATATTTGTACTTTACAATTCCCCAAAGAGGCAAGAGAATCTAGCCTATTTAGGTATCATTTCTACCAGCAAAATGAGATGTCAGTTTTCACTCCAGCATCTCGGTCTCCATTTTTAATCAGTCCCCGTGTCTTCCCCAAAGGGACAATCTCTACATCCCAGTGGCACACGAACATTTTTAAACACACAGCTCGCTCAGTTTAGTGTGGGCTGCACAAATCAAACCTGAAAGGGCCCCAAGAGGGGAGAGAAAGGGGAGGGCGGAAGGGGGAGAAGGAAAGGGAAGGTCTGAGGCTAAACCAGTCCTGTTATTTTTATATCCGAATTATGTCAATGAAAGAAGTGTTGAGAGAAATTTTAATTTGCTAATCATCTCTCAGGTTGATTAGTACCAGTGTGCATGTGAGGGACAGGACACCCAGTAGACTGACCCTGGCAATGATCAGGAAACCCAAAGGCTTAGGTCTTGCACCCAGGGGCAAGCGCAGTGACAGAGAAGCATGCTTGCATTCCTAAATATATAAATATATATATCCACAAGGAAGAAGAAAATTAAAGTAAATGATATTTAAAAAAAAAAAACAAACCAAAAAACAAACCAAACCAAACAAACAAACCAAAAGAAAAGAAAAAAAAAAAAAGGCAAAAAAAAAAAGGCTGGCTTGTCAGGGGTTGGGGACAAGAAGGCTCCGGTGTGTGTACTTACATAGAGGTCAGCACCGTAAAATCCGTCCTGGTAAACCACACTGCAGAAAATCCACACAAAAACAAAAAAACAAAAAACAAAAAACAAAAGAACAGAAAACACATTCCGGTTATTGAGGACGGCAGCATGCACATGCGTTTTACACAGGCAGGTGATGTATGAATCCACAACCTAGGCTTTTGGCAGGAGCAAATCAGCGAGAGAATGTGTGTGCGCACGCACGTAGACGGCTCCAAGTCATCTTCCATGGCATGCAAAGGGGGAAGGGGCGGGCAGAAGGGGAGACAGTATGCGAAGGAGAGAGGGAGGGGAACCACCATCTTGTATGGTAAAAATAGACTCAAAAAGATCTGATGTCCTGAAGAAGAGAAACAAGGGTTTAGAAACCTCCACTCTGTTTATTCTCCTGGAATGATTTTAGTTACCCCCTAAATACATGGAAACATTGGCTTCATGTAGTGGGCTTGTGAAATCGAGGAGCCCCTCGGAAGGCTTCCCACAGGGGCTGGAGTCACCTATGTCAGAAGCACGTTTCAGGGAGTTGTGTATGATTATGTATTTCGAGCTCCACAGGGCTGCACGACTTTTGTTTCTGACATCCATACATCACCTGCTTTTACCCTGCACATTAGACATGCGATAAGATTTGGCTGATCACACAAGCATGCAAAGTATTATTATTCAGCATCTTAAAGAACCGATGCAACACCTCAGGAAAACAAGTCAATCAATTCTGATCAAAGTAAACACAGAGAAATGTAATTAAAAAGAAAAAACCAAAAATACCCACAATGCATTGCTTTCACAAGCAGAGATAATGAGCTAAAAAGGTTAGGTGACTGGTCCAAGGTCCAAGAATTGAAAGGTGCAGTGGGAATCCCTGGTAGTAACGACCTATTCCATAGCAGAGAGGAGCAACTGGAAGGGTTTCCATGGGATAGTGCTTTTTCTGCTTTAAGCCATAGTTTTCTTTCTCTCAGAACTTCAAGCAGGAAGACGGTTAAACCAGAGCCTGGGGTTCCCAAAGAGCCACTCTTACCAGCGCATTTGATAGCGTAAGACTATGCAGCTCGCTTTGGGGACGGGGGGTCGGGGAAGGATGAGGAAGGAAGAGAGGGATGCCCCCCACCCATGTGCTCTTCAGCGTGTGCTTCATACTGAGGAATTTCCTCCTGCTTTGTCCTCTGAATAGCTCCGCACAAACTTACTCAAGGCTTTAGAAAGCATTAGCCCCCACCATCTGTGATGTTCATGGATCCGATGTGCATGACTTACCAGTAGCATTAAGGAAAAAGAAGGTATGGAAAACTACCTTTTCTTTTGATTATCATTTTTTACTCATCAGATGGAACAGGAAAAGCTGCCAAGAGCCTGCCACCCTCAGACACCCACCTATTGTAAGGCACGCACACACAAAAAAAGCCCAGCAGATCTTGCCAAAATTCTGCATGCTATTACTAAAAAATAAAATAAAATTAAAAGAAAATCTGTTGCAGTGTTAGCTACTGCTTGAATAATTTAGTCTTGCTGTCTTCCCCAGGAAAAGTACACTCCATTCCCAATGGACAAAGTTACTATGGTCTCCAAGAGCGTTGGGAGCAGGTGTGAAGATAGAGACCCTTGTTAGAGGAAGAGGGGAGCCACTTCAGCAGGGAGAAGCAGGCCATAAGATCATGTTTGTTGAAGCTAAGTTTTTACAACCACATAACAAAGAATTTGGCTCCTGGGGCAGTGACTTACATTGCTGGGTTCTCTATCTAGGACCAGGAGTGTTTTAGCAGTGATACTCCACCTGCTCCTGCAGGAAAGGCAAACGCATGACAGAGGAAGTGACTGTTGGTTTATGAACAGGTTAGCAGTTTTAACAGTTATTCTGAACACAATCAGTTGGATGAATATAAGCATTACCACATTGGATCAGGCCACTATTCCTGTAACTTAGAATGCTGTCAGCAAGAGATGCTAGCATCAGTACTCCAGAGAAAACTGAGAGGAACACTAGGAACAGGTAAGACTTCCTGGGTGCAAACCACCAAGCAGACGTGCATCCTCCATCTCTCCTTCAGTTAGGACTTGACTGCCACCGACTGTGAGGGCTGAAATTTAGCAAGGTTTATTTATATGCTAGAACATCCATATTTGTGATTCTTAATGCAAGCAAAAGCTGAGAGAATTCCTTAATTTGAGAACCACAGAGACCATTCTGGTTACGTAGACTGACCAGAAGCATGAAGCAGCCCAGCAGCTTATCAAATCTCAGTGGCATCTGCAAAAAGCCTACTGGCTGAGCTAAAATACATCCATGAGAAAAGAAATATGCTGTTTGTAAAGCAGCCATATCATTTAGGTGTAACAACAATGGACTGTGTTGTAAAAGGAACCAAAAAACACTCCAAACCCCCAAAGCTCCCTACTGCCTTACAGCTAGTCTGATTTTTATCTACTTTTGACTTTGAGTCAGTGAATCCTCTACATATTTACACTCTTAGACTAAATTGTTCTTTACTGTAGCAAGCCTATTCTTCATATAGGTACTTAATGACCATGAACAAGTCAACACCTAACCTGTAGTTTGAGAAATAAAAATGATCAATGTTATTTAGCTTGAGAGTTTTATTGAAGGCAAGTATTTTTCCAGACTGACTGAATTCTTACAGCTTTTGGTCTCAAATGCAGTATGTCAGCATCCTTGTTTAGAAAGCATGGCTGTTACAAATCAGGGCAATATTCCAGTACAGGTTTTACTCATGGTATATATCAGAGGTTATAATGTCTCCTTACTTTTACTGAATGCTGCCTCCATAGTAAATTGAAGGTTGCATTTGTATTCTGAGGTCAGGCCCAGGTGAGTATCATTATGTCTAACATTGACTCCAACAGTCTGAGCAACTGCTTTCTAAGGCATGAATAGCCTCCCTGGATAAACATCCATGTCCATACGTTAGTATGTACATTCCGTATATGCATTATTAAACTTTAGTTTGAGTTATTGAAATAAATGTTAAAACTACTAAGAAGGTATCATTTCTTGCACCTTCCTCTGGGGTATCTAGACACCATCAAAACTTATCTAACCTGAATGGCCCTCAGGTCTGATCCAGTATGGCAATTCAACAAGCTTTTATTAATCTACATTCTGTGTTTTTTTAATTCTGTTAAGCTCTCAAATGCAGTGATACCATTAAGTTTTGTAACTTAAACATCGCTGAGGTTTGTGAAAACCAGTTCCTCCTACCAGGTTTGAGTTAACCTGCTGCTTACTTTACTGTCTTCTTCCAAATGACTCATTATATCTTGACCACTCATGTGTTGCTGACTGATGCTATGGTGTCATCTTTCCACTGATGAGGAAGAAAGCAACAGATGCAGGGTAAAGTGTCAGGAATGTGTGCCTGCCCCTGACTCCAAGGAGTCAACAGAACCCACATGGAGCAGTGGCTGTCCTACAGGTTACTGCGACATGGCACCGAAGAGCACATTTTGTATAATTCCATGAGGAATCAAAGTCCTTCTACAAAATATCTGGTAGAGATTCAGACTACGATGACAGTAAACACCAGAATTAGTTAATTACATCCCAGTGCTTGGGACTAGGGATAGTTCTGGGCCATTTGTGCACTTGCCTTTTTTACTGCTGCCCTGCAAATGTTTACTGAATAGTATGCTGCCCACCAAGATGTGAAATCAGTCAGCAGGGTCAGACAAACTCAACATAATGTAAGTAAACGCAGTCATGAGACAGTATTTGGAAGGGATCATTGCTGGAGCCTGGCCCATATTCCGGATGGAAATAAACCTTTATACGGGACTCAGGCTGGACAGCCCAGAGCCCCTCCCAAGTGCGCCACTCGTGACAGCCTCTTTCTTGCTAGGAATGCTCCAGCCGTTACTCCCAGGGATGAAGAGCACATCCTCCCTCCCCAGTGCAACTATTTCGTGTTCTGCTAGACGGCAGCACTTAGCTCAGCTTTGCATCTCTGCTTCACTGTGGAGTGCTTCCTAATAACAACGGACTGGGTCACTTTTTAGCATCAAACTGCAGGTCACAGCCTATGGTTAGAGGATATATAGCATGACCTATGAGTGGTGGCAAAGAGAGGTGGATCTGAAAACCGAGAAGAAACACTGTTCAGAAGGCAAATGTGTTCAGACAAGGGGTTTTATTTAAGTCTTCTGGTGAATTAAAACAAACATTGCCAGATTTGCTGGAGAGCAAAGCTAGACAGATCATGACCACTGCAGCTCGCCTCCATGAGCTCTACTTTAAATATGAGAGTGGACTCTAAAAAGAAAGGGCCACAGTAGCTCTCACCAGTTAATCTGCTACAGAAGGTTCTGCAAGCTTATCCTGCATGTATGAGTTCAGCTCCTTGCACTAATCTGTGTGGCTTCCACCTCCCTTTTTAATAAGGGGTTTGCAATTTATTTTCTTCCCTTTTGGGGCTAGTCTAAAGGAAAAAAAGGGCCAGTCCACTTCTCTGTGTTGGAGGATTCATTCCTACTCCTATTCTGTCTGAGAACGTTGCCTAGAAAACACGGCAAGTAAAATCCCTGAGATAAGCAATATGAATAAAGCATCCTCAAAATCAGAAACAAAAAAAAACCAGTTTGGAAGGGATTTGCCGATTTATCTGTAGTTACATCACACTTGAACAAAAACCCAACCCAAAACTCATACACAAACCTAGTTCCCTGCATTTTTAAACAGCAGAATACTCTTCTGTAACAGGATCTATTCCACTGCATTACTAGTGAAAAGTCAGAGGGCAAAGAATCTAAGGCCACGCATCCACCATTGCTTCAAACAACAGTTAGAAGAACGCTGCACTTTTGTTCTCCCTATATCCCAAACACTCCCAGATTTAAATTAATGGACTTGATTAATCTTTGTTTTAAACCTTTTTAAACCGTCTCCAACAAAGAAAGCAAATCCATTGTGGGTAACTGGCTCTTCTGTGTCCTACTGCCAGATGGTGAGGCATGAAGGTAATGGATAATATTCCTCATTCCTGGATATGAAAATGCAAATGGAGTGCAAAGAGCAAAACCTTTTTAGAAATTTTAGACCTTTTCTCTTTGTGTCCTTCTCAGCAGCGCTATAACATACCGGGTCAATGGATGACAAATACCACATAGAAAAATTGAGGAATTATGAGAAGGAATCCATCAGCACTTTAAGCTGTTGCAAGTATTGAAAATTGTTTCAGTCATGAACTTAACAGAGATAAATTTAGATTTGCCCCCAATGGACGCCATCATGTGCAGAATGCTCTGGCACTAGCAATATCCTGACTCTCACCATCCAGACAATTTTAGTTATTTTTTGGTTAACCGATTAGCTATTCGACACGGTTGTGCAGAGCACTCTGCTCTTGTGACCAATGCTTACCCTGGGTAGGCAGGGATGGCTGTGGGAGGTACCGCCCGGACTGCCCCATACACTGTCCTTCCTCGGCCCCTCAGGTGGGCTCCCCGAAATGCGGCTGCTGTGGTGGCTGCAGTTGGATAGGGGAAGCCTGGAACTGTAAAGACAGACAAGGTGGAGGTGAAAAGGATCTGAGCTCCCTCCCAGAGGACAACCATCTGCTTCAAACAAAGTGACACAATAGCTCCACAGCGGTGGGACATTTTGCATCAGTCCTGCAGAGGGGCATGCTTATAACCCAGCAAGCATCCCATACATACTTCCTGCTACACCATGGCCTTTGGGGAAAGAGGGGTTGCAGAGAGGTTTGGCATGCAAGAGGTTAATGCTTTGGCATGCCTCACCCACCACAAACAGGGTTCCAATCCCCCCGCCTTTTGACACCGCCATGCAGTCTGGTTAGAGTCTGAGAAGCGCAGAGAGTTACTATCAATACAGCAGGCGGCTCTTCCAAAACTGCAGAGGCTCTTTTAAAGTAATTTGTCAAGAGGCCCTTAAAGTCAACCAACTTACATCAGTCTCTTCCCTCCTTTCCCCTCCCACTCTTTGCCACCCAATCCTCTGTATGTTCATTTTAAAGCCTGAAAGACAAGATAGCCCATATAACAGCAGCAGAAATTTCCCAAAAAGTGCCAGTTTACTGAGAGCCCACCTTCATTTAACAAGCATGACCAGTAACTGGCTCCATGTATAGTGGGGCCTGTTTTATTACGCTTGACACTGAAGTAAACTGGCTCATGATGAAATGATGTAAAACCTCAGAGGCATCTGCAAAAACGTAATGAACAGATACCAAGAGGGAAGGAGTCCCAGGACGCAAACCCAACCCAACGTGTGTCCAGGTGCATGCCATGAGGGGCCCTGCAGACTCGCGGTTTAGCAGCTTGTATAATATGTACTTTAGGGATTTTGTCCATTTGGTTTCTTTGAATTCAAAAAGGGGGAGGGGGGCAAGGGAATGGCTGATTCCTTACACACCCCTTCCCCTTGTTCTGCAGCCTCCTCATCGCTCAGAGACACTCATTCGCCAATAAAGAAACACACTGCAGATGAACAAGTTACAGCACAGTATACTCTGGCTCAAGGTAAACTCATTCCCAGCGTGACCCATCCTTTCAAGTATATATTATACAGACTGGAGAGAAGAAGGGTAACAGGTCATTGTTAACTCAAGCACAGTAACAATATAGGGGCCAATGGGGGCTACTTACTGATTAAAGGAATGTAAGTGTTAATACCCCCCCTTCCTGACAGGGGCACTGCGGCGTCATTGCCCAGCGAGACATCTGCTTGAAAACTGGACGCTGATTTGATTTTAAAAAGAATTAAAAAAAAAAAAAAAAAAAAAAAAGAAAAGAAAAAAGAAACAACAACAAAATGTAAAAAAGGTTATAAAGAAACAGCAGATTGAGAACATAAACAAACACCACTGCAGTTAAATGGCAGAAGTGGAAGCGTCTACTTAAGCTCTACCTGCATATAACTCAGGGCCGTACACCGCTCCAACCACAGGACTCAACTTCCAACCTGAAACAACAAAGACTGCAGTGAATGCCAAAATCTACACCAAGAGAAGGAGCGGGCAGCGTGGGTAGGGGGAACGGTCTCTTGCATGCGCCCCAGCTTCACATGCACAGCTCTTTCCAATTTCTGCTTCGCCTCAATCCCCCTTGGTGTAGATGGAGGCCAACTGCCTTTTTCTAATGTCAAGTTCTAGGTACAGGTCGCTGTATCAGAGGGAACAGCAAAACATCAGCTGATCCGCAGCACAGCAGAGGCTCTGCTGAGGGAATGCCAACTACCTTATATGCATATTCGCCACGAGCACCATGCGACCCTGCGTTCCCTGCATGAACCTTGCTGCCAGCTCCTCCCTGCTTCCACCAGCAACACTGTACGTCCAAAACCTCTCTAATGCCACAAGCTCAGACTGTCATCCTGGGCAAGCCAATTTACAGCCTGAAATACTCAAAACACCCTTCTGCCTTATTTGCTAGAGACCTGCTTAAAATCAACACTGTCTGAATTTCCTCATTAACTGAATTACATGACTACAGTGCAGAAAAGCAATTCGGTCTATTCATCTCACATTTTCTCCTGTCTCCTATTTTAGCATTTCCTGTCTTCCTTATGCTGCTTTTTCAGGTGCAAGCCTTCCCAGAGAATTGATTTTAATCTCATCTGGATAACTGGCAAGAACTGCAAGTCATCAACATAAAACCTACAAGAGAATAGTGCTTAAAGAAGTCATCACTGAGGCATAAGGAGGAATACATTTCCAATCAGATATAGAAAGCTATCTGTCGCCCTGCCACCACTTTCTATCGGGGGAGAGAAGGGATGTAAAGCTACCAACATGATCTGCTTCCACAAAGCATTCCTTTCAGGAAAGATCTCAGCTGTTCGGCTACCAATCATGCAGGTATTTTTATTTAAATAAATCCATACCCTTCCTCAGTCTCAGAGTCCTGGTGCACTTACTGCACTTAAACACCTCTAACCAGCCTAGAAACCGTACGAACAGCTTTGTGAACTGAAGCCCATCGACACCACCCCTTGATCTGCTGGCTAGATGGCAACATACTCAAATGAGCGGTGGCAATGAAAAGACTGGGATCCACCCTCATGTTTAATAACAGTCGTACAACCACTTGCCTTAAGCCTGGTCTAATATTATACATAAATATTTTAAAGCTGGCTTTAAACTGCTGGCTGCAAAAGCAAAATATTCCTGCCCATTATTGGGGTTTCACAAGTAAGCCAAGTTCTTTTACCAGTCATATGCATTTTCAGGACAACATAACATAGCTGAGTAGCCTTTTGCTACAAAATCTCCTAGTTCCTTTCAGACACTGAGACTCAGAATCCCAGACTTTCTGCCTGTCCCTGTTCTCCAATTTCTGTAACCAAAATAAGATTTATCTGCCAAGAGCCACATAACAAGTCAGTAGCAGAGCCACAAATAAAACTAGTATCATGTGACTTCAGAGTCTTATTTTGTAATCAGAACCAACTCTTACTCTTAGCAACTACCTATACATGCAGCTTCCTGCCTTGTTGAAGCCACTTGGGAACATTTTCAGACCAAAAAGCACTTTTCTGGCTGTTTCATGACAAAGACTTAGATTCAAAATCTCTATCAAAGCAACATTCATGTTCTATTGGGAGAATGGCTTGTTATGCTATATATGCCTATGCAATAAAATTACTGCACAGACAGAACTACCAAGATAATCCTGATGAAACAGGACTCTTCATTACCCAAGCAACTTGGTCTTTCTCTAGTCAGATTCACTGGAAAATGGCTGAACACAGGCACAGACTGTGACAAAAGGGAGCAAACAAGCAGTGCAATTGCCTCCTTTGTCTTGGCTGCTTGGGGATAGCTGTATTTTTACAGTTAAAACCTAAACCGAGATGTATCTAACTATGTATCTTAGTTATGCTTCTGCATTTATATTTCGGTATCTATGTGATGGCAAGGAGACTCAGGAGTACTGCACATCCCACTGTACTGCATCAGCTTGCAGCAGTGGCAGACAACCCATCGGTCCTTGGCTTCTTTACCCAGCTTGGCCATGTTGGGTGAGTCACTACTGCTCTGCGTCCCCACGTCTCCATCTATAAAATGATACTCCTCCATAAATACTTAAGGGTTACACTGAAGAATAATGCTAGAAATTAGGATTTGTTGGGTTTTGTTGGTTTCTTTTGGGTTTGGGTTCTTTTAGTCCTGAGAAGAGGTCATGACTTTTCCCTTTTGTCTTTCTTCCAACCTTTCAGCTCATCATTAGCACAAACAGCCTCTCTTACCATTTGCGTATGGCGTGACCATCTTCTTATTGGTCATCACTCGTGCAGTGGCGTTGTTAACCTAAAAGTAAGAAAGGGGAAGGGGGGAGAGGGAAGGAAGCACAGAGCATTAGGGAAAATGATGGAAAACTCTCAATATACCACACACACACACACTATATTTCTCTGAGCAAAAAAAAAATAAATAAAAAAATTAAAAAACTAATTTTAGAAAAATGCAATCTTTAAATTACTTTTAACAGTTGCCATTTTATTATAAAAGTTAAGCTAAACATGGCACTTCAAAATTATGCATTAAACACAAGGCCAGTGAGAGTAAAGTGCAGATCCTCCATCACCCTGCTACCCATTGGCACATGCTTATTTTCAGCTCATTGATGGAAAGGGCAAAACTTTGGAGGTTTTGTCCAGGTTCTGTTCAAGAGGCAGCAAGAATTTCTGCAGCCCAGGGTAGGAGAACTGAACCAGGCGATGCCCTAGCTGAATTGTTTCTCAAGCTCACCATTCGGATTGAGGCCCAACAGGTTGCTGGCCTGCATGGTTTTTAGATAGAAAAAGGTAGCCTGGAGTCCATCAGCCTTATATTTGATCTCCCAAGGCTTGAGGAGGTTTCTGGAATGCCAGCAAGTGTTCGGATGGTCACTGATTTCCTCCTCCTCATTTTCAAATCTTTTTTTCCAGATTATTCTTGTCACAAATCTCATGGAACAAAAAGGAGAAACACACAGCAGCAGACCTGGGTCTTTTTTTTTGTTGTTTTATTGTGCCCTCCACCCTCTTTACAGAGCTCTGCACAGTTCCAAGCGGTTTGATTGCTCAAGCAAGTGGGGTGTTACCACAGGGATGGTGCTGATAAAGAAAAGATGGACCAGTTTGGAAGCCAAGTTACTGCAGCCCCGTGTCAGACAGCCTCAAAGTTCTTGCAAGGAGGGTGAAGTCCTTCTACAACATCAATAATTTAACAAAACCCATGCCAAATGGGAATTGAGGCCAGCGTGAAGAAGGAATAAAAAGAAGGGATATAAAAACAAAAGCTGCCTTGGGCCCTTGAGACTTATGGATGCTGAGTGTATGCAGGGTGGGGAGTTTGGAGCTACATTTTACTCTCATTTCAGCCCCAAAACAATAGAAACATTACACATTTAAAAAGAAAGAATGGGAAACAACAATGATGAGACTGAGAGCATGCAGTTAAACACACACAGATAAAAGAAAGAAAAAAAAAACAAACCACAATTGATTCAGAGGGTGGGGAGGGGAGGAGGGAGGAGATAGGGTCTCACAGACAATCATTAAGATGGAGCGAGTGCCTGAAATCAGCTGCTACAGCAAAGTGCAACACAAGCACTTAAAGGAAAAATTGCCAGAACCGATCAGAAACCACCAGTCAGCAAAGAGACCAACAGCTGCATTTAACTGAGTAAAGAAATAAACTGGGGAGGGGAGGGGAAGGAGAGAAAGAAAAAGAGAGAAACAAACAGTAACAGCTACAAACAGGTCTCAGAAAGAGAGAGCAGCAGGAAAAGGGGCAGGGGAGAGAAGAGGAAATGGGTGCATTAATAAAAACCAGCCAAACTGGAGTTCAGTAACTCTGAGTAAGATGTGCAAGGGGAAATCACCATGAAGTCAGTAATCAAACAGCTCAGACTGCTACAAAACAATATGTACATCCAAAGTCCAGGCGGCATTACTCAACAGCATTGAAAATAAAAGGGGGAGAAAGGGAAAGGAGGTGGGTGGGGACAACAAGTCAAATCACATTTCGTAGTGTTAATGTGAGATGGCAGATGGATTTTTTTCTTTCTTATTTAATTTTGGTTTTTTATAATTTTAAGAAAAAATTAAAAAAGAAAAAAAAAAGCTTCTTCTCTAGCGCTTTTGTTTCACTTACCGCCAACTCGTACCATCGTCAGCACTGTGTCTAGTT